GCCGGACAATGGCCGGGGCCGGCCCGGGGGCTCCCGCGCTCCCTCCCCTGGCTCCGGCCAGCGCGGACAATGGCCGGGAGGGAGGCGGGGAGAGCCGGACAGCGGGAGCCGGCGGCGGGGCGCTCCCGCGGGGATGGATGCCCGGGAAGTTCGCGGCGCGGGGCAGCGCTCACCTGAAAGGGGCAGCATGAGCGCCCGCAGCAGCGTCCCGCGAGAAAGAGGCGCCATTTAGCGGGCTCCGCCTGGCATGCTCCTGCGGGCCGGCGGCTCCAGACGTGCCCGGCTCGGCGGGGGACTCTTTGCCTGTGGCCAAGCCCGGCGCACGGACACAGCGACTGGCGCGAGCCCTGATCAATGGCCGAGGGGAGGAGACAGGGGATGGACTGAGCCTCCCCGAGCGCGCCGCTGTCCCGGCTCTACTTTCTGCATCTAGTCTCCATTGGCCTCTGGGAGGGCGAGGGGCGAGGGGCCGGGCCGGGCCGGGCCGGGCTGGGGATGAAAGGGTGGGGGAGGGACCGGGCTGGACAATGCACCTGGGGCCGGCCGAGCTCACATGTCCGCCGGTCGAGCCCGCCCAAACTCCGCGGGGCGGGGGGAGCGCGGCCCTCCGTGCAGGGGATGCTCTTGTGGGGGAGAGGGGACATAAGTCCGAGCTTCTGCCGCCTCGTCCTCCCCCCGCTCACAACGTGCTTTCAAGCTGTAAATCTCCAGGGAGTCGCAGCTATCTGTGGAGATAAAGGAGAGAGCCAGACCTGACCCCAAGTCTCTCCCTCTCCCTCATTTCTGGATTAGTTTGAAGGCAGCCTTTAAAGTCTTTCCCCTTCTCCTGATGATGGATTTTCCCCCCAGTGTGTTTCAAAAACCCCCGAGGGGGAGGGGGTCGCTCACGAGCCGGCCTCTCGTGTCCATTAATCAGCTCCACCGCCCGGCTCCTAAGCAGTTGTTTACGAGGGGCTGTTAAACCCAGAGTTACAAAAATGAATAAACCAGAAACGAACAAACAAGTTTTAGCCCATAACTTTTTGCTGTCCTCTCTTTCTCTGTTTCCCTGCTACTGCAGTCCCCCTTTGGAGGGGTGAAGCCCTCAAGGTATCCAAAAAAAGCAAAATAAAGGAGATACTACAAATGAGTTTTGAAAACAGTTCAAACCTTTCTTCACAATTGAACACTTTTGCAGAGTAGCAAGTCCAAAGTTTCGACTTCAGCTGAGTTGCTCTAATACGCTCAATGCTGCCTTTTAAAATCACAAAAATGACATAGCTTCAAAACTGGTAGGATTGGCCTGGGGCAGTGGAAGCAAGTTCTACAAAATACAAAGTTAATCAGACAAGGGATTGCTGCATGTTTACATCAGAAATTAAGGAACCTGCCATGTCAGTTTTTGCCACCTCAGCCCTCCCTGTGTAGAAGACTCAAAATAGGGGCCTAGTTTAGTGGACTATTTGGGCAGAGGTGGTGCCCAGATAAATTGATAAAAATTTAATTTCCCAAGTTATTTACTTCATTTGGAACGTCATTATGAAAAACTGATGGGCAAGCTTAGTATGGGCCATCAAAGGGCTACTGAAAACCAATGCTTTTATTAAAAAATAAAATATAAGGCTCTTTTACTTTCAGAAATAGGATATCAAAATTAAAGCAATTGCCAGGGGGGGTTATTCCTAGTTAAAGGAGATTTTCTCCACCGTGAGTCTTGAGCAGAGGGGATGACAGAAACCTGCTGAGCATCCTGAGACTCCACGTTTTCTGCAGCCTTCAGGAAATCCACAGCGAGCGGACAATTCTTCCTAGGTTCACCTGCCCCCCACCCCCTTTCCTGTGGACATCACGAACTCTGCAGGGAGGAGGAACCCCCATCAAACTGCAGAAGACGCACTGGACCCCTTCACACACTCAGTTAAGCTTTCAGCCTCCCCTTCCTTCTGCTCTAGCTCACAAGCCTCTTTCGCTCCCCAGAGACTGACCATCTAACTCTGGGTCTTTTGGAGCTCAGAAATAATGAAGTGGGGAAGGGCAGTTTCCAAATAATACAGTTTCCAAAAGGTTTTAGTGGGTAACGAAGAGCCTGGTAATGAAGGAAGCTTGGGTAGTTGGC